TTCATTTATCACCGTAGTTCAATTATAAGTCAGGCGGTCTATTTTGTCTACATTATGTTGAAAGAACACCGGGGTGTTTACATTGGCATTATTTACTATCAATGACTGTGAAACAAGAAAGGAAAACATTGTACATTATAAAACGAGAAATAATTAAAATTAAATACAAAATTCTTGTTTAGTGAATTCAAAAAAGAAAAACGGAAACACTTTTGATTTTCATTTTGGTTTTAGAGAAATCAAAAACAAAAAATGAAAACCCTTTCGTTTTCCGTTTTGGTTTTAGAGAAATCAAAAACGAAAAATGAAAACACTTTTGTTTTTCGTTTTGGTTTTTGAGAAATCAAAAACGAAAAATGAAAACACTCTCGTTTTTTGTTTTTTGTTTTTGATATTTCATAATGAAAAACGAATGGACGCAAATATACACGGACCGTACAAATATGCCTTTCAAACGGATAGTATTTTGTTCGTGCCATAATTTATACTATCTCTTATGTAAATTATCATTAGATTAATGATATATAGATAATGCATTTTAGTAGGCTATTTTTGTCGAATAATACACTGAGGGTTCTAAAGATGATCAAAAGAAAGACTGACCGTCAACAAATCTTTATACCTTTAGGTGTGTTATACACAAGGAAAAACCGTAAAATATGCATAATCTGACCCATATTTATGAAAAGTGGAACATTTTTTTCTTTTGCGATTATGTATAGCCTCGCACTCCGTACAGGTCACATTCATCTCCGCATATAGTAAGTGTTCTACTACTAATCTATCAGTGCTTCTAACTGCCTCCCTTACTACTATCAAAAAACTTATTATTAACTTTTGTAATAAAGCTTATGAGCATAATGGTATTAATCATTTTGGAGTGTTAAAAATTCTTTAGAGGTTTTAGATAAAATACATGCTTTTGATGGTCCTTTTAATTCTGTTGACAGTTATGATTTTTTTACTCTATACACTACAAGTCTAAACAATCTTATCAAGAAAAAGTTTTCATATTCAATTAAATGGTCTTTTGAAAAATTTCATTTCAAATGTATTTGCTGTAGTTCGTTTAAAGCCTTTTTCTGTAACGAAAAAGGAAAGTATGCTAGATACACTTACTAGAAATGTGAAGATATAATTGAAGCTTTAAATTGTCTCCTGGACAACATGTATGTACGATTCGGCGATAAAGTGTATCGACAAGTAGTAGGTATTCCTATGGGCACTAACTGTGCCCCTTTAATAGCAGATTCATTCCTGAATTGCTATGAATCTCAGTTTATGACCAAACTCAGTAAAGACACGTCATACTAAAATTTACGACAAAAGAGACGATTGTTCATTCCCTTTTGCTAAATTTCCATTTTTAGACGGCGATGTTCCTTTGGCTCCTTTGGCTCCTTCATACGGTGTTTATGTATCCAAACTCTTTCGTTTTGCCCGTGTGTGTAGTGGTGTCATAGATTTAAACGAACGTAATCAATGCATTACTGGTAAATTATTAAGTCAGGAATTTCGTTACCATAAATTACCTAAAAGTTTTACTAAATTCTTTCATAGATGGGTCAATATCCCTAATATGCGCCTCAACTTGAAAGTTGTGCGTAAAATCTCTGTGTAGTGATATTGGACATGTTTGTATTTTTAACAAGTGACTGAGCTTGACCATTTGTATTGTTTTGAAAAGTAGAGGACCAAAGAATAAATGTGTAAAAACTATGAAGTTATTAAATGTATGCAAAGTATTAAATTTTCAAAGAACTTATGGTGTGAAAAAAAGGATTTTTTTACAACCAGGAGCCGCAACACGAAAGGATTTTCGGGGTGTGCTAATTTACGGAAAAATGAATAACACTACATACCCCGAAAATTTAACCAAATATGTGAAAATGTCTCAGCTTCGAAATGAGCCGTCATGCATATCCAAGTTTACGATATGGACTGTGCTACAGAGGAAAACGTTACCAATACCGCCTATGGAAAATCTATTACGCATATTGCCCAAGATACAAAGATTTGATTAGTAAATTTGTCTGTACCTGTAGAAAATTTTATTAAAATTCGGTATTTCCCATTCTAAATTTTACAGTGATATTGTACTGAAAGCGCGGAAATCACTATGTGATCCGTGTAAACTGATCGAATCTTTAAACAAAAATTATTAGTAAAGGTTATCTTACAAACGTTTTAATTTGATAAATATCGATTTTGTCATCAGCAAATTAAAACATAACTAAATTTGTATTCTTTTCAAACGGTTTTTTTTTTTTTTTTTTTTTTTTTGATGTATAAAAACACATCCACGTTCATTTTCTACATAGAGATTAACTCCATACTATCCTAATGCCTGTCGTACTTTTATTTTTGACATTGCACAAGTTATGTCTTCTTTGACTGTCCATGACGTTAAAATACTAAATTCCTGGGATGTGTTTTAGTTGATTTTATTCTCTGATGCACGATTTTTTATTATTATTAATTGTTATTAGCTTTTAACTAGCTTTCAGCAACTGCGAGTACTCTCAAATCGTATTTTCATGTGAATTTGACCTGTTGATGCAATTTGTAAAGCTTTTTTGTTATTTAATTTTTACTTATTTAGTTTTATATCTCGTTATATCTCGTCTCTCTGTTTTAATATATACTATCTTTGATAAGTGTTTGCTATGACTATAAATTTTCACTTCTGTTCTCGTACTAAATGTACTATGAACAACAAAATTATTTATTTTTTTAAAAATATTTCCGTTCTCCATTAATGTATACCTTACAAAAAAATAATTTTCATTTACCTGTGTACATTATTCTATTTGGCGGCATTGTGTCCAAGATTATGGATGACTTTCTGAAACTGTTTAACATCTCACCACATATTTTATTGATTTTGTAATTATATTGTGTCATAGATCAAATTTATTCGTTCAGTGAATGTTCACGTGTTTGTGTTAATATATCTTTTGATTGAGTTAAGCCATTTCAATTGATATTTTATAGGTTGTCTTTCTGTGTAGTGATGTTACACTATTGTTTCAGGTAAGGATGAAGGTTGGTACCTATTAAAACGTTTAAACCCGCTGCATTTGTTTGCACCTGTCCTAAGTCAGGAACCTGATGTTCAGTGGTTGTCGTTTGTTGATGTGGTTCATAAATGTTTCTCGTTTCTCGTTTTTTTTATATAGAGAAGGCCGTTGGTTTTCCCGTTTTAGTGGTTTTACACTAGTCATGTGTTGGGCCCTTTATAACTTGCTGTTCGGTTTGAGCCAAGGCTCCGTGTTGAAGACCGTACTTTGACCTATTATGGTTTACTTTTATACATTGTGACTAGGATGGAGAGTTGTCTCATTGGCACTCATACCACATCTTCTTATATCTAAGTAAAGTATAACTCACTAATTAATTTACCGATAAACGTAAGAAATCATTGTTCAGTTTTAAAAACATGTTACTGTAACAGAGTGATGAAAGAAACAATATCACGGTGTATGAAAAATAAATGTCACTTAACTTTGTTAGCAATTCATTATATTAACTTCATAAAAGGGGATGCCATACTTTTTTTCTTGTTTCAAGATTTGTTTACGGAGGAAAAGCAGATTATATTTTCAACAATTTTTTAGCGAACCATTCAGGACAATTGTTTGCGTTTGTCAATCAATACAATGTTGTTTTGATAGACAAACTTCAACTGGATAATCATCAAAAATGAGAATCAGAAAAAGTGTTATACCCCCCCCCCCCCCCCCCCCCCCCCCCACCTTAAATAACGTTACTGTTATCCTATAGCAAACGATGATGTTTATTTTTTTTCAATTGAGAGAGTACAAGAGAGGCGAAATATGCCAAAGAGACATTCAACTTTATAAGTCAAAAATAAACTGACAGAAACTTGGCAAAACAAAACCCAAAAGACAAATACCAGTACACAAAACACAACATAGTGAAGTAAGGACTGACCAACAGGAACCCAACGAAGAAGATATCAGGTACTCTGAAAGGTTAAGCAGATCCTCCTTCACATATGGCATGTTTTAAAGAAATAGATATATATATATATATATAGAGAGAGAGAGAGAAAGATGGAAAACTATCAAAAACAATCAAAAATTACAACGGAAAGAGGACAAATTGTAAAACCTTTATACAACAATCGACATCCATCGGTCAAAGTACGATTTTCGATGCAGGGTGAAGCAACAACATTGTATACTTCCTTCCGAATGCTATGAATATAAGCTTGACAAAATTTGTAATCAGCTAATTCATCTCAAATAATGTTTCTGTATTGTAGCGAAACATTCACGAAACTTTTATTTGTTTCGAAAATAAAGCAGTGCGTTTACAACTTTTAGGATAATACAGTCCACAAAATAGAGGAAAAGTTTGTTTCTACATGTACTTAAAACCTTCACAGACTATTAAATTTCCATTCTCAATTTTATTAAAAACTTGATAAAGAACAGTAAAACCAAAAAGACCCAATACAAGATAAAAATCAATTAAATCAATTAGTATAGGAAACTGTGGTTTTGCATCTTAAATAGGGTAAATGATGACCTTACAGAGATCCTCATTTTTTGCTTTGAACTATATGCCATTGAAAGTAGGTATTGTCCAGGTTGTTTTTGCACAATTTAACCCATTTTTTGACAGAAAATAATGCCATATAGATGTATATATTTTTTTGATAATTTGTCTCTTAAATGTACATTAGAGTCAACACATTTTGCTGTTCAATATTTACCAGATTGTGGTTTTAATTATACTATGTAATACAATTATTGTACATATTTGATGCAGCAGTTTCTTTTTCATATATTGCCCTTTCTTGTGTATAATGTTCAAATTGTCCAAATTTATATAAAAAAAAAATGTCTTTAATGGACCGCAAATTGTAATAACAGCTGTATTTAACTTACAAATTAGACAAATTTCTATCATTCTATTAAAACAAAAATATCGGGTTTTTTTTTTATTTATTTACCAGACAATGTAGGATATTTGTTTAAATAATTGATACAAAATGAGTCTTAAATGAGGTTACAATTAAATGATGACTACCGCCATACTGGTATGTTCCCTTCATTTCACTACTTTTTAGTTCATAAAGCATTATGGCGCTAGCAGTCTTCTTTGGAAACCTATCAAGTAACAACCACTAGCATCGTTTCTGATTTGTTATCTGCAAAACAAGAACAAAAATCTAATTTCAATGTGAAATCATCTTCAAATTTAACAGAAATAAGTATAAATATTAAATGCATAGACAAAGTAATTTTGAATTGTAATTTTCGCTACATTCATCAGCATCAATACAAAAGGAGATGTGAAAGCTGTATGATGTTAAGTGTTCTCATTAATTATACGTATGAATTTTAAGATACGAAAATGTACTGTACGTAGAGGATATAACTGGCTAAAATGTGAAAAAAAAATTACATACAAAACAAGTGTTTTTGTTATAATGTAGATCTATCAGCTAGATGTTACGAGCACACACCAAAAGGGTTTAAATATACAGTCTTACGTTTGTTTTTTATTTTTGCATTTTACCACGATGTTAAACAAATTAGTCGACTAATCTAGCTTTAACGTTTTGTACCGTTGAAAACTTTTCGTGGGATTTTTGTGGTTTCAATGCACTTGTTAAATCAGCTGCTTAACATATAAACAACTTCAAAACATGTATTATTATAGATAGATTTAAAATAGATTTATTACATATAGTATTTTTTTTAAAGATTTTAAACATATCTCAACCTTACTGTATTTCGTTTTCCACATTACAATTCCGTGTCTGTATCTCAAATAAATCAGTTGTCAGACTTGAACCAAATTCAGGGAATTTAAATATGTTCGGTCAATGATTCGCGAGTGTAATGACCAACATTATTTGTATAAAAAAAGGTGCGAAAGATACCAAAGGGACATGGAAACTCATAAATCGAAAAAAAAAACCAAACTGACAACGCCATGGCTATAAAAAAAGACACACAGAGAAACATTAGTACAAAAAACACAACGTCGAAAACTAAAGACTAAGCAACACGAACCCCACCAAAAACTGGGAGTAATCTAAGATGCTGCAGAAGGGTAAGGAGATCCTGTTAGTACAAACCCGGTAACTAGTCTAATTTGGTAGGTCACATTCGTGAAAAGTATAATTCGCATTCCATTCTATAACCATGATAACAGTATGTACCTGGTGTAGTACTTGTGTGTTTCTAAATTTGCTAATTTCTGTAGGAAACGTTTTATCATATTATTCATTTAGGAAATATTTTTTTCTTTGCATGACGATCATATAAACAAATAAGACATACATATGCAATGTCTAAATCCAATGAACACTCAAAATACTTACCTTGTACACTTTAGATTCAAAGGGGGACTCATTGATCCAACAAAAATCGTCATAAACACTTTGATATTGAGTAACGGTCATCGCCTGTTCAATATAAAAAAAAATCACTGATGAGTTTATTTACAACATGTCTAATATATTTTCATAATAGTCCAATCATTGTATGGTGTTCATTTTATTTTTCGTGTTTGTCAAAAGTATCTTAAACGTATGTAAGGTATACTCAAGGGCTCCTTGAAATGAAGGAGAAAGCATCGACTAAGTATCACACTTAAAGTAATCATTTGTGACCCTTAAGTTGTAAGTTGATACCCAACTTATTCCTACGTGTGTTCGATTCTGATCTCATGTTAATAACGACGGGTGGCGCATATGGAGTAAGGTATGCTTACCTTTCAGGAGCGCCTGAGATCATTCCCAGTTTTAGCGGGGCTCGTGTTTTGCAGTATTTAGTTTTCTATGTAGTTTTTTGTTGAATGTTATTTGTCTGTGGTTCTTTTTTTCTTTTAGCAATGGCGTTGTCAGTTTATGTTCGACTTATGCGTTTGAATGTGCCTTTGGTATCTTTTGCCTATCTTTTTCAAGGACTATCAGTTATGTTGCGAACGTTAACTGTTTTCTTCGGTACTCTAGCTTCAACAACACATTTCAAAACAGCTCACAAAGATATAATACACAAAAAAAGAATTTGACGGTATGAACAATAAGTCATTTTTTGTATAATATGAACCATTTAAATAATAGTGAAAGGATATATTTTCGAAACACAAATATACCGATGTGATCTGGTTGACAGAGTTGAAAGAGTGAAGTATACAATTAAATGATAATGTTGCTTATGTTTGATTCGTATGCTGCAATAAGAGCAGTGCTTAATTTCATTTTACGGTCAATTCTTGGATGCCATTGTTTGTCACAGTAATATATAATAATACTTACATTCTATAAAAGACATTCTTAATTCTACACTCGTTTTCTCTAACAAAATAAATGCAAAGTTAAAGAAGCATGATTGTCTTTTTATTTTTTTAGCATTATTAACAGATTTCTAATGTAAAGGAAATGAGAACTTGATTATTAAACAGAAAACGAAAACAAATTTAATTTATATGCATATATCTATACTTATCTGTATTCATTTATAATTTAAAATCTAAAAAAAAAAAACAGTCCAAAAGAGTAACGATTTTGTGGAAATTAACATTTTTATGAACTGCTACACACAGCAATATTGATGCAGTTGTTATACATTGTATCTATAGGAAATCTGAAGACAAACGTTGTGCATACCAGCTAAGTATGCACTGACTCAAATCAACATACAATTCTAAAGCGTTCAGCTGGGTTATCATCTTTCAATAGGTACATGTAATACATTAACAACTTATACTCGTTGAACAAAATAAATATTAAAAGCATTAAGTTATATATCAGTTAAGTGCATTATGTTCAAGCATTAATATCAGAGATTAACAAATTGTGAATTTAGTAATAGAATGCGTTAAAGAAGTTGCCAGTTAACAACTATCAATTGTTGACAAGACGAATACAAATGCAGACATATACAAATTTAAATACACTGATGAATGAATATATTAGTAAAAACAATTATTAAAATCTGACACTATGATAATCAATAATAACATATTTTTCAATAATATACTTGTTAAACAACAAATAGACCACCTTTTTCATTTGATATATTGTATTGAATATTTTATTCAAACCAGTAATTATCAATTTAAAAGGCTCCTTTGATAATTCTAAGCTCATTCATGTTATACACTTATTACTACAATTTTTGACAATTTTAACTAATGTCTGTTTTAGTCACATATTGTTGTCAATATAATGGGATTCTATGCCACTGTCATATGTGTGAAAGATTTAGCTATCTTAAAAACGAGATATTATCTACAATTATCTACGTATGTTAATGCTTGTACCAAGTCAGGATTAGGGCAGGGATTTTCCAGTTGTTTGCCATTCGTTTGATGTGTGTGAGCCTTTATTTTCAATAAGGACTTTCAGTTTTGAATTTTCCTTGGAGTTTGGTATTTCCGTTAATTTACTTTTTGGAATATTTCTTTAACTACGAATACAATTGAATATCAATCGCACAATTATGTTTTCTTGTTAATACGTTTTCCTTGATATACTTACATTTTTCAGTATAGAAAATCACACTAAAAATTCTCTCTGGATCTGAGTATATAACATTCTTTATCGTTGTAGTTGTTATTGTGACATAAAGTATTGTCGTACCAGTTGCACAGTATACGTTGCTTCCGTATACATGAATGCCTATGTTTGTATTATTGGTATTTGAAGATTTTAAATCGCCACTGGTATATTCCATCCAATAAAGTTGATTTTCAGTGGCATCTAAAAAAAGTTATTCTTTTATCTTTTGAAGGTTTGATCTCATTGCGTTATAATTTGTGTATTGCAGATAATTGACTCATATGTACCCACTGTATCACTCGCTGTTTGCGTCTTTGAAGATATTTATTCAAAAACTTAAAGAAGACGTCAATAATACATTGAATAGACCTGTATAATTGGAATCGCTGCGTATACATGGTAAAGATATGAAATCAAATAACATTTCATATTAATAATAATAACAGAACGAATTTGATATCATAATATGTAAAATAACTCACCTATGCTCATCCCATATATTCTGTGTGAACTATGGATGATTGTCTGTTTGTCTGTTCCATTTAGTCTCGCTCTTTTTATTTTTCCGTCGCCAGTTGAATATGTACTGTAGTACATCAATCTGTTTTAAAGAAAAAAAATATGATTTGAAAACTCAAATAAACAATAAACTCATCATTGATACCAAGGTTGAAATTGTGTATGACAGACTCGCTTGTCGTAAAAAAAAAAGACTCGAAAGTTACGCTCGAATAAAAGGGGTAAATAAAGTCCAAAGTTGACGAAGGAAGATTGAAGACCAAAAATTCCGAAATGTTTTTCAAATACAGCTCAGGAAATCAATTCCTGTGGTAGAAAAATTATACGTATTAGAAATATTAAAAAATATAAAAGTTTCGTAAACAATGAATGATAATCATGAACATCCCAATGGTTATTCAGTGCTGTGTACTAGTATGGATATACCCTTGGAGAAGAAACCTCCAAAACCAGTGTCAAATAAATTAATATACTCTTTTAGTTGTTTCATGTTTAAAACAAGTTTTTCATGGTTTTTTTTCTTGCTACCTTGAGGTAGATATGTTTCATTCGTAATGCTGTACAAAAGTTTATTAGAGTAAAATTGTGCATAAATAAAATGGAGAAAAAAGTATAACAAACATAGTGAACTCGAAGGTAAATGCAAAAAGACGAAATCCATAATAGTTGATAAAATCACACGACGTCAACCAAGAGAACGATCGGAAAACAAATCTCACATCCTTCCCTTGTTACAGGTATTTTCCGGAAAACATGTTGGGTTACAGCTAGTATTATGTTCAACTCGTATGCCAGTTGTAATACACGACTCATAGATGAACACTAACATGACTAAGACTGTATACATTTGCACAAGAGGGTCTTATACGGTTGATAAGAGTCCATAATTTCATTTTGGAGGACATGGACTATAATTTTGTTTTGCTATTTCACTGCATACATCGTACCAATGTTGAATATTTCGCAAACTATTAGCACAGGGTATGTTGTACTGTTTTAACGTAGTACCAAAATCAGCGAAAATAATTTCGCGAACAACTGAACATGTTCATAGTTATAAGCCATATTTTGTTTTTTAATTTATGACATACCTGTGCGAAAGATCTAATGTGAGAGCATACAGCGGATCATCCTTGAGTATATTTATTTTATTTGACCCATCTAAATTACACCTGTAAAGCTTTCCTGTGCCATATTCAGTCAGATACACGTGGCTGGATAGTGGATCAACAGCAACACCAACAGGTTTATCTGCCATTGTGACAGTTTCTGAAATGTATGGTTGTTCTGAAGGATACCGAAATCTAAAAGTTAAAAAGAGTAGATGTGTCATTACCTCTTCAGTAATATTTCGTTAAACAAACTACTGTTAATCAGGCATTCAAATAACTGAAATTTAATGAAACTACATAGTCACTACATAGTGTATGAAATCACCAGATACAACAATGAGGGGGTTAAACGACCTTGACTACCTATGAGGGTCTCGCACAGTCTCTCGTCATATTTACCACATGTACCATTGTATAAGTTTTTATAGGCTTTGAACTACCTTTCAACAACTGCGAGTACTCTCGAATCTGTACTACGTATCTCTCTTGTTATGGGGATGTATAAAAGGCCTGCCAAGTCCAGTCTGTTTTTTTTTCTGCTTTGTATCGATCTGATAAATAAAACCCTTTTCCAACTGATTTGTATAGTTTGTTCCTATATAATAATGTTACATCACTATGCAAGGTTTGGTGAAAGTTGTGTGACAGCAAACTCGGTTATCTCCACCGCATTCATCCTTTGTCTGTTCCAAGAGAGGATCGAGTAACTCAGTGGTTGTCGTTTAATGCTGTATGTAATATCTGTTTTCTTGTTTTAATAGTTTTACATTTGTCATGTCGGGACCTTTTATATTTGACTATGCGGTTTGGGATTTGCTTATTTTCGAAGACAGTATGGTAACCTTTGATTATTCAATTCCGTGTCATTTGATCTTTTGTGTAGATTTATCTCAAAGGCAACCGTACCACGTTTTTTTTTTAATTTGATTTGATAAAGTCAAAACAAATGAATATATAATTACAATGAATCCAGAGTCTAGAGTCTTTCAATTTGAAATCTGAATCAAGAAAATAATATTCACCTTATATGGCTTCCTTTAATATTTGTTCAAATAACTAGTTGCTGGTAGACTTATCACAGTTCAAGCCTTAATTTTACGATTGACTGTTCATTGTCAAAAAGCTGGTTGAGATTTAAGATTAGGAATAGAAATGTATAGGAAAATGCGTTGTTACTTTGCTTGACGTGTTTCCTTTCTTTTGTATATATATATATATATGTATGACTCCTCCTTTCAAAGAAAATAATAAAACGAAAAATAGTTATCTAATAGGAAAAGCATGTTCACATGTTTGCAACAATAACTGTAAATGAACAATTGGATATTGTCTTTTTTTATGACAAGTTATCATTATAAACAAACGGGAAATATGTTTGCATGCGTTTGATATATTAAGTCTTGATTCATGTTGTGTCTGCGCCAAGTCAGGCTACCGAGATAATAGATAGTTCAATGCTGCATAACTTTTTTCTATGTTTTATTTTAACAGTGTTTTGATGAAAGTTCACATCGTAGGGGCTCCTGCATTTTTTAAAAGTATTATTAAGGGAAAATATAATCTATAACATATATATGGAAAAAAATACCTCAATATGTCATTTTGCTCAAATCTTGTAAAATAAACATATTCATATTTATAGTCATAATCTATAGAATGGATGACACTTTGTAGATTCGTCAACAAATCTACTACTTTTCCAGTTATTAAGTCTGTTTCCTTAATTTTCCCATTTGTTGAAAAGATAATCTTGTGTTGATGACCTGGAATAAAAAAACATGGTGTTTGATTTTTGTTGGTAACTAACACGATATATGTCATCACTCCCAGGTTTTGATTTGATTCGTGTTTCAAAGTCCTTATTTTCCATGTTGTCAATAACCTAAGCGGCCACTGTTACTTCAACAACAGTGCATATTTACAAATAATGTTTTCTCAGTTCAGTTCGAAAACAAAATCCAAATTAAGCCAAAGTTATAAAACAAATACAATTAGTAATTGTGTATTGTAAAACTATATGGTGCGTTAAAACAATGTAAATGAGTGATGAGGGTCCTGATATAGGTTCAAGTCACTGTACTCATCGTTTTATTCGATTATTTGTTGAAATGAAACCTGTCGTATATAAAAAAAAAACATTTATTTTCAACGTGTTAATAATAAAACATCTACATTTTGTACCTTTTAGTGGCTTTTGCTCTCCGTCAGTTCGTTGCATCATATCAGCAATATTATTTTTTAACAAACAGCGATAAAAAGATCATGTGTAAAGAGAATAGTAATGTTTTTATTACTAATGATTTCTTAACATACGATTAGTCAGCTCTTGTCGTAAATATCGATATCGGTACACACGCTGCAGTGCAAGATAACCCAAATGACTTTGTAATTAGTAATCCTGGTATCTGAATCTGAAATTGCAATTTCACAGGAAGCGTATTAAAGATCCTAGTCAAATGCTTTGCCGTTTTTAAAAAATATTGGAAATCAGACCGTATTCTCGGGAACAAGAGCTCTATGTTTCACTTGTTCATATTTACACTAAGTCACAATGTTGCGGTTGGATCAGCGAATCTGTTGTATACGAAATAATGATATTTATAGTACGTTATGCGTTACCCACTAAAATGAGA